TCCCTCCATGCCTACTCCTCCTCACACTCCTGCACACAGGGGACACTTTCATTTGTGATCATTCTCCACTGTCTTCCTATCCCTCAAGCAGCACTCCCAGGCCCCCGGGGTGGACAGCCTGGCTCTTTTATTCATAGTTCCAACAACATCAACACAAATCCATGAGAACTGATCGGGTAAAACAGGCCACTTCATAACGACACCACTGCAAGAAGTTTGATGCTTCATCCAGGAAGAGCACACACCAACTACAGCTGCTTCCTCAGCCCGATGAAGGGTATTTATACCCGAAAGTTTGCAAAGAAGAATTTTTCCAGCTATCTGAGTTGGTCTAATAAAAGATATCAGATTTACCCAAAGAACCTTGACTGCAAGACAAGGCCTTTCCCATTCGGTGCACATGCCAGTGAGCTCACCCTGTTTGTGAGACGAGCACTGCTGCGCTCCATCATCGCGGGCAAGTCTGGCTGATTTCAAAGGGAGTGAAGTCTACGGCACTGCAAGCAGAATTGGGCAGCAAATCTGCCCACTGGGACAGAGGCAAGATGGAAGGTCAAAGACTTTCAGTGGGAATGACTGTGTCAATGGCACTCAACATGGGGAAGGAAGTACTGAGTATGAGCAATCCTGTGACAATCCAGACATATGTGCAGATGGTAAGGAGTACTCTCTACCCCTCCAGGACACCATTAACATCTGTCTGTCTTGGCCAGGGCATTCCGATTTGTTGACAGGGTTTGGCTGTTGTGAATGATTTGTGATGCCCTAACCACAATGTGGATGACATGTTGATTAGGAGACATTTTTGGGGGTTGGCAGCACACCAGCAAAGCAGAGATTAGGTGCCAAAGCCACAGCAGGCCCCAACATGCCAACACCCTGCCAAATGTCAGCGGTGCTCTGTTCGCATGGCCCAGGAAAAACAACGCAACTGCCCTGTGGACTTTGAGTAGAACGGGTAGAATGACCGCGACTTCTGGATGCACCTCTCTGTCCTGAACTGCCTCCATGAGACCTGCTTTGCCAACTGTAATATTTGTGCAGTCCAAAAAAGTTTTCTAACACTCCAAGCATGGAGTATAAAGCCGTGCCGCACGGTGCATTAATGCTGACACACTTCCCCTAAGAGGTTTTGGCAACATCAAGTCCTGAGGGAACCTGGATGGTTTGTCAACGGACTCTCTCTGAATTACAATCCAGCCAGTTGGTTACACCTTCTTACAGTGGTCCCAGCATCAGGGGATGGGGAAGACTGTTGGATGCAGGTTGTAGCTGGATGCTACCTGGGCTGTTTTATTAAAAAAATTAAGTCTTTATGATTGGGGCAATACATCTAAAATACCAGCACGCAGTAATTTAGTAAGGATAGGTATGTGCAAACCTCCACATTTCATTCAGGTAGGAGTGAGAGCGGGGGATACTTACACATGGAAAGGTTTAACTCCAGGATCAAAACTGGCTTCAGGGACTCTTGTAGCAGCATAGCAAATGCCGGCTTGAAGTCAGATTTGGTCAGAAAAACTAAGTGGACCCTGATAAGGTGATACCTTCTAAACTCCTAGGAGACAGGGGCTGCATATATATGTTCTGGGTAGAACATATATTTCGCAGAATATAGATCTGTTCTGTTATTACCCACAGGATGGGGGTTACACTATGTGCCACCAAGTTTAAGGTCCACTATACAGCGTTTAAGAAGCACTCCTTTGCCCTGTAAAGTCAAACCACTTGCTTGTAGCAACCACCCCGCATCTCATAGCCACAGCGGGCCAACTGGCTGTGCACATAACCTTATATCTCAAAGGCACAAGATGGGTTAGGCAGCTTTAAGAAGATTTTCCAGAAAACAGCGATTATAGATTTGTCATTGGTGCCAAGAGACCGGAGAGAAATGCGCTTTAATAAATTGCCTAAATATGCATTTATCTTGAGGACAGAGCCACTTTGATCCTCTGAGCACACCCGTGTCTGAGAGACTGTAATAGCTCTGAGCAAGCAATTGCAATAGCTTGGATAAATAATCGGAATTTTATTACTTTCCGAAAATGATTTCTGGGGGAAGGGAAAAAGAACTATGTACCATCATCAACCCCCCGCCCCCTGCGTCCTCATTTACACTGCACAGACCCCCCCAGAAGCTGATCGTCAGAGAAGTTGAAGAAAGTACAATTTGAGCCCTTTGTTCAGATGTCTGAAATTGGGTCATATTTGCAAGGACAGAGATCTGTTCAAGTGGGAGGCAGGACTGGAATCTTTAATACGCCCGGGGTTCTGGTGCCGGGTTATCTTAACCAAGCTGCGTTTTTCAGTTGTGTTATGGAGGCCTCAGGCTAAGCATCCTTTGAGCAACACAAGGGATATGACTACAGAAACAGCCCACATGAAGATTCAACCAACATAAGCCAGAACACTTAAAGCTCAAGCTCATCAGGTGCCCTTGATCCACAGGTTACTTTCTCCCAATGCCTCCTATACGTGACACAACAACAACGTAGAAAACTACACAATAACCGAGTGCGCAACTACAAAATACATGAGAAATACACAGCAAATTATATCACCAGTGTGGATAACTATCTGTGAATGCACCACAGCACACTGCTGAGAAGGCCACTTCCCTTTCTGCAAGTGCTGATTTGTTAGTTCCTTCAAAAGTATAAAATACAGCTCAAGAAATTCACGCTGTGTTCTGGGCACCAAGCCCATAATTAAAAATGACAAACAAATATTTTTGGACATAAATTCTTCTCCCTGTCTGCCCTTCCTAACAGCTTTAGAGAAGAAAGAAGAAAGGCAGACAGGCCCACAAAAGGTTGACAAAACCGGATGCTATCCAGGGATCCCTCCAGCCTGCCAGTAGCTCGCTCTGTCTTGTTTATACATCCTGGTCCTATTGAAGTCAGGCAGAACGGTGACTGGTGTATGAACAATTTAGCGTGGAGGAAAATGAGGTGGGACTTTCCCACGAGTCTTCTGCTGTGCGGTAACTAGCCCTATAGCCACAGTACACCTGGACTATCCCAGCTAAAGACTACCATCCATCTCCTTCTTGGGGGGGTAGATCGTAGCAGAAGGGCATCTGATTGCAATGATAGTGTAATACTTTTACTTTCCTTTTGTTCACAGTTGCAGGCACCATGCACTGTGATCCCAACATCTCACAAAATAAGGTGCCCGGACAGGGAGCGAAAGAGGCCGAGGTGCAGCAGGTAACACTGCTGGCAACCCGTTTTGTCTCTGAAACAATGACACAGCATGATACTAAGGAGCGACGTATACTGCTGGAGATGCCATCTTTCAGGTGTGAACCCAGTCGGATGAACTGCCAGGCTTGGTGAGCTCACAGGAGATACAGAGTACTGGTCCACCCAGCCCAGTAATCAGAGAGCAGATGCTAAGGGGAAGAGTATCTATACAGGGTTTATTCAGATCTGTTCCCTGCCCCTCTTCCCCTACAGCTTCCAGAAAGTCCTGAGCACTTGTGTTCAATAAAGGTCACAAGGCACTTTTCATAGGAGCAGTGGCATTCATCTCCAGATCCTGGTCCAATTGCAGCCTCGGTAGCTTCGCTCTGCCTACCTAAATTCTCCCCGGCACGACTGGCCAGCTGCCATGCCGTGTCAGGTTCATACAATAGGTTGTAAAGCAATTTGTAAGCCTCCAGATTAAAGGAAGTATATGCAAATAGGGTATTTGAGAGTGGGTTTGTGCATCCCTGCAGAAGTGCATTTCTCTGTAGATGACCCTCTTACAGAACCAACTTTTGACCTCAGGCAGTCCAGCTTCTTTGTGCAGCAACATACAAGAATATCACAGAAATATCACACCCTTGATGTAACTCTTGTCTGGATGGCAAAAAAAAATAAAAAATAAAAACCTTCATTGACTTTGGTGCCATGAAAGAGGACAGACTCACTTGTCTGGGACTGTAAATATTTTATTAATGGAATGGCCAGTTCTTAGAAGCTTTGCCTTTATCTGGTGATGGATCCATTCTGTTTTAGGAACAAGGATAGTTTAGTTCTCACCGGTTCACTGGGTTGAGGTAAGGTTTAGTGGACAAGCCAAGGCAGGATGCAAATAATTGAAATAGAAAAAAAAAAGGATTATTCTCACTTCATAAAGAACAGACTGTCTTTACTGTGAATTTTGCTGGCACAAGATTTAACTTGTTTGGACTATTAACAGTGAAAGAACATGCAACATAAGATGTATCGTTTACATATACCTGGTGAAAAGCACTTATCTGGAAGGTCTGACATAGCAGTCACAGAAGAGAGGGAGGATGAGAGACACACAAAAGATTCCCTGCTCCCCATAAAAAATAGTGTATGGAGCAAACCAATGACTGTATAAGTTATTACAAAAACCCCCTCTTTAAAACAATGTAGCCCAATATATTTTAAACATAATTACATAAACATGGTGTGATGTACTAGTCAGAGACGGAGCAAACAGATTCTGATCCAGTTTACAGACCCGTTCTGTATAATCAGAGCATTTCTTGGCTGGACCATTGCAATGTCTTTCTGGGAAATGGATGCCTAAGAAAGTCATTCTGCTGTCAATCCAGGGAGGACTTGACTGGAGAGATGTGTGAGCCCAGCAAACGTTGGCATATGTAAGAGGCTGTGATATGAAATGCAGGCAGATACAAATAGGAAGAAACATCTCATTTAGCAAGATGGGAAAGATCTAGCTTGTTTCACTGATTAGAACTGACTTTGGCAATGACTTGCCTGCGACTTTGGAAGAAAACATGTATCCAGTGACCCCATGCTAGTTCAGGTGGGTGCCTGCTTACAGTCCCTTTGGGCAGGTGCCTGGGTTTGCTGCAGGGAATACTGCATGTCCGAAGACACTCTGGGCTAACTTCAGACCGGGGTGAGCAGGTCAGATGCACTCATCCACTCATTCCAGCTCTGAGTTTGGTCCTCCACTCTCCACTTACAGCTAAATCTATGGCTGGACAAAAACAAACAGCAACTGGAACCAAAGAGTAGCTCAAATAAGTTTGCTTTAGAGCTTTGATCTAGCAGATTACCCAATTCATCACTTTATATCTGTACAGAGCATAAAAATATTGCAATGAGGACTTATATCAGGTGCTAGCTAGCATAAAAGTACTGAACCAAAAATGGCTTCTCCTTCTCTGAGCTACAGAAACCTGTGTCCTTTGAGCTGTGAGCTCCTGCCATACACTCTGAAAGGCTGAATCAGACGCACTTGTGCTAAGAAGCAGGCCTCGGCATCTGGATCCCACATCAGTCCCCATTCACAAGAAGTATTTGAGAGTATTAATATCACCATTTGTTTAGTATCTTTTAAGACTTAATGATTAAGAACATGATCTTACCCAGACCAGATGCTACTACACATATTGCTATAGAAACCAATGGACAGTGATATTAAAGCTGTCAAACTCAGGAGCAGATGCTGGACGGTACCCTGTAAACTCTGCCCAAGCTGTAAAAATAAACTTTAGTCCTCAAGGTTTGGCAAAATTGGACTTGCAGGACGGAGGAGCTCCTGGAGGCAGATGCTGAGCTCTATCCAGCCATGAGACACGTCTGACAGCAAAACAGTACAAACAGCTTCTTCTCACAGAGCTTGCTGGATTTCCCCACCTCGCAGAAATTCTTGTCAGCTGCAGGGCCATCATCCGAAAGAAGAGAAAATGAGGAAACAGGTTAAGTTTCAAAACAAATGAACTCTCTCCTGCAGCTAGCAGTGCAATTCATCCCCTTGCCGGAGGCGAGAGAATGGAAAATACGTCACTTTTTAAGAGAACCTTCACTGGTTTTTAATGAAGGAACGAAGAAAGCTTGTGATGATGGGATAATTAGCCCAAATAGAAGATATAATGAAATGCAACCTCTTGTGTGTACCCGAGCTATAAGCAAACACTTATCAGTCTTGCCTGGTGACCTTTGTTTCTATTGCAGTCATCAGGCAGATGCCACGATGGGAGAAGTTACAGTGCTATTCACTGAAAAATGTACAGGTCAATAATTCTGCAATTTGACTTCATTCTAGTAGGTCATTCCACAAATATGAAATCACAGCACCCAAAGCAATTATATTAACCCTATTTCTCTTGTGAGGAGAGAAACAAAGGTTGGGAGCTTTTTGTTGAAGACAGTAAGAGGATTCAAAATGCAGTCAATTTGGAAAGATCCACCTGAAGGCCCTTGCCATGGTCCCTACACATTTTTCTCATCTGCTCTCTGGTTTGATTCCAAATCCTGTTTCATTTGAATTCCAGAAAAGCTTATCGTCATCAACAGCATCATCTAGTACCTTTTTAGCCCTGACATATCCAAGGTACTTCACAGACCCATAGACGGGGAAAGGCCCTGCTCGACAGAGTAGACACTCAATTCTCAGATGTACCAAGGAATGGGGAGAGATGGCAAGGCAAGAAGATGCCAAGACAGGACATATTAGAGCAGCCACAGCTCCACTCTCTGCATAACCAGAGTGCAGCCTGCTCCAGCCATGCCCTGAGAAGCAGGAGATGGTGGAGTGGGATACACAGTGCTGACCCTCCTGAGGGACCCCAGATGCCAGTAGAGGGGAACCTCCACATTCCCCTTGAAGGCAGCTTTAAACCTCATTTGTGCTACTGGGGCTTAAATTGGAGCCCAGGAACTAGTATCTTGGGTTACCAGGCAAGTACGTACCATTGATGCAGGTTTCATTGGTCACGCATGAACCCCGGAGCAGGCTGAAACCTTCCTTACACTTGACACAGTTCCCCACCGAACCTTCACAGACTGAGCAGCTGCTGTCACACCTGACAGAGAGACACACACATGATCCCAGTCAGCACTGGGACCACAGCTCGCCCATTCCAACATGTCAGGCTGCCGGACAGCTCTGATAACGTGCTTAGGAACACTTCAGTGTCCAGGCACAATTCAGCCATGGAAGACAACAGATCTGTATCCCTTTGCATGCACACTGAACGTGCTCGTCTCTCGTTGGGAGACTTGAACAGATGAGAAAGAGAATAAGACACTGGGCTGGAGACTGGCGTCTTCCACCTGCTTCACATTCACTTATGGGCAGAGGTGCCTTCGTTCCCCTGCTTTTGCCTAAGGCATGTTACCGAGGGTTTCTGACTTGCAAGTGTGCGTCTGGCTTTGAAGCAATGGTTCTATGAGTCCCCCTCTCCTACCAAAAATGGCTTTGGTGGGTCCCTGCTCAGTTTTTAATGGACAGATATCCCCCACCTCACAGAGTGTCACCTTGGCCAGCACAAAGAGACACGGGTACTGCAGCAGCCTTCTGACTTACAAGGGGTTCCTCCAATGTCAGGGCAATGAGACTGTACTAGTTATCCCACAGACCCACCCCAGATATTGACTCACTCCAGATGTTGACTCCCCAGCAATACATTCACTTTAAGCACTCTGTACTTCAAAGGGAGAGCACCAAGAAAGGGACAGGAATTGTCTGGAGGGAGGACCCTAAACTGTTTGGACCCAGGCTTGTTTACTATGGAAAATATCTCATAGAAGACTTCCTTGGTGAAGGAGGAGTTTTGGCTTCTGAACTGCATGGGTCTGAATTCAGTCGTGAGGGTTACAGCAGCAACTTACATTTACAAACTATCCTCAGAACAACTCCTCCTCTCTTCTCTTTAGCTCAGCTTCTCCATCTTTAAACTCAAGATAATAATACTGATTGGGCACGTTCACATGAGACATTTACTGTGCAGTTGACTAATTAATGTCTCAGCATCTACATGTGTTCCCCTAATAGGGCACAGGAAACTAATAAACTCCCCAGCAGGGTAGGACTTGTAACTACTGAGCTGGCTGGTTAGGGCACAGGGGCTGCCTGCTGGCTAGCCCCAGACTGGAGCACCCTCATGCCCCAGCCAGCTCCTCTGCAGCACAATGAGCCCGGCTGGAGCAGCTCCAGGCCGGCAGGCTGACCCCCCAGCCCTCCTACCAGCCGGGGCTGCTGCAATCTCGCTCAATGTACTACAGTGTGGTTCACGTGTAAATTGTGCTCCTAGGAGCTTCCTACGAGCAATAAACTGTGGAGCAATAAACTCCGCAGTTTATTGCTGGTCACTAATGGCATGTGTAGATGCACCCGCCTTCGCCTAAAGACGTTCTAATGTTCACTGGCTGGACTAGCATCATAATAATACTGACTCTAGATAGCCAGCATAGCCCAGGTGAAAAGTGCTACATAGGAACCAGGTGGTGTATTATCGAAGGTGATGGCACACGGAGCCCATGTAACTGCACTTGGCAGCAAACCCTGCACTCTGTGTCTTCCCTTCACTTAAACCCAGCATCATCCTGTATCAGGCTTGATTCACCAGGCAGGAATACAAGGTCTGAGCTCTAGGTCTAGCTCTGAAAGCGACTCACTACATGACCCCAGCCAAACCTTTCACTAGCAATTTCCCTGCTCTTCCAGGGGCAGGACCCTGAGAGTGCCACCTCCTCCCCTGCGTTTGGCTAGGGCAGGCTACAGAGTATTCCTGGGGTTTCTGGCTTTCTGCCGTGTTGGTGCGTGTGTCAGGATTGGAAGCAGCAAGTCTAGGCTTTCCTCAGGGAAATGATTATGTGCGAGTTCACCGGCTTGGCCTCAATGGCCCAGGAAGCCTCTTTCAGTCCTGCGTCTGTACCACAGGACCAGCGTTGCCCATCAGCCCGGGTCTGGTGAGGGGCTAAAAACCACGACTGTCTGGTCCCCAGGCAACATGCACCTGGACTCTTTCCACTAGCTTCACTTGAGGTGAAGGCCATGTGATTCAACAGGACTCAGGGCATGTTGGACTTCTCCTAGCTGGTCCACTAAACAGCTTCACCTGCAAGCTCTTTCCTAGATTTTGATGCGTGTTCCCTGTGAAATGGCTCATCGCGGCTCCGCACCCATCATGGCTTTATTCAGCTAGCTCTTAAGACTGGATCACAGCAAACTCCATCATGCCAGTTTTAAAGGGGAAAGTCTAGAGGAGGGCACCGTACCTTTTGCAGAGTTTCTGAGGGATGCCGTTCATCTCTTCAGGGTAAAACCCCTCCCGGCAGGCAGGGACACATTGCCACTCGTGCAAGGGTAAGTCTTTGGCACATGGCACGCATTCCTCTTTGCCTGGCTCTAGGGAGTATAAGGGAGAAGTGAAGCATTATAGTCAGCTCCCAAGATAACTGCCACATTGTGCAAGCAGGCCGGGACCAGAGAGGAGCGAGGACCACTCCGGAGGGATTATGCAGCACTCCGCTGTGCACTCAAAAATTGCGGAGGAATCAACAACCTGCCTTGGAGAAACAGTGGTGCCAGCTCCTCTGTGGTTCCTTGGCTCCTGCATGCTTGCCCTCAGCCCTGCCAGGGCCCAGGTCACCTCGCAGCCTTGCAGGGAAGCATGGCTGGGCACTGAAATGCAGCCTGACATTTATAGGAGCATCCCGGCTGAATGAGAGCTGGGTGCAGGCAGCCTCTGATCTGCACCATCTCTGACCACGTTTGCCCTGGTTGCCAGATTGCCCGAGCAGAGAGACAGAGGACAGCACGTCCTCTCTGCAGCAAACCTTCTCCCTCCCAGCCCTGCACCTACTGCTGCAGCCCGTGCCCACCGTGCCTCTCCCTATCTCTGCCTAGTCCCTTCTCCTCTCTGGGTCTCTGCTTCTCACTCCCTCTCCTTCCCACTCCACTCCTCACCCACTCCCAGCATAGCTCCACAGAGACCATGTGTCCTGTCTGCAACAGCCCGGGAGCTGGCTACATCTACATAAGGACAAAGAAAGAAATTCCTTCCTGACCCCTGCAAGGAAGACCAGCTTGTGCCCTAAAGCATGACACTTCCCTCCGCCTCCCACCCTTCCCACCTCCCAGGGTCTTAGCAGCTGTATTTGTATAAGGCTGCATTTCAGGTGTGCAGCAGGGGGAGAGCATGAGGTGAAGGGAAGGCCAGCTGAGATTACCTCTAAAACCAAGGAGAAGAGACCTACTTCGCTTCTCCCCAGCACCGATATGCAAGAACTAGAGCAACAGACTGCCGACTGATTAAAACAACATTAACTAAAGGTCTTCCATACCCAGAGCAAAAGCCAGCCGAGAAACACTTATGTGAGCCAGGGAAACGTGAAAAAGCAAGAAAAATGAATGCGGCATACTGCACTTACGCTGACTGGAATAAGAATTAGAAAGGGGGTAAATTTTCTTAAAGGATTAAAAGTCAGTTCCCTTACATGCTTTCTAACAAGATCAATGAATATTTTGGACTTAGTCCTAGGAAATTAACCGTGTATGATAAATGAGATTCAAGCCAGAGAACACAAATTGTCTGGAGATCATATTATCATCAGATCAGGAGATGCTTTCAAGACTACATGCCAAAGTTAACAATGCAAAATAATTGGACCTTTGCAAAACAAAAAGGCAAATAACAAAAAGGGATGCAGAGCAACCTCGGAAAGCTGATGGGAAGGAAAGCTGTCCAGGAAAGGCATTAGGAAAATGCTGGCAATATTAAAAGAATGAAATAGGGGAAATGGGTATTTTTAATCTGAAACAAGGGTAGAATAAAAGAACCATGACAAAATAAGTAGGACCAAATGGGGAGATTCCTGGCAGCTGTAAGAGCTGTGCCGCCTTGACAATGTTCTTGGGATGGTCTTGCAATAGCAGCAGGGCTGGCAACGCCTGAGCAGTGGCAGCTCCAAAGCACACTGGAGACACCAGTGGTAGCCACCGGCAGCTGCCTTCAGGCTCCTGGAGCCAGGGCAATGCACTTATGGAAGAGCCAGCTTCACACCAGGCTGAACTGCCACAGGTCAGCAGCTCCAGCCAAGGGGCTAGCCCTGCTGACAAAGGGATGCCAGCCATGGCAAGACTTGAGCCCTGCTACCTTTGCTTGTTAAGTTGCCTACTCCACCAGAGTAAGGGGTGGTCAGCCCAGCACCAAGCAAGATTGAATCCTGGGCCCACACCTGTTCCCTCCAGTGGCCCCTGCACACCAGCTCTGCTCCACAGAGACAACCAAAGTGGCGACGCAAGTAAGACGGGAGCACAGGACCGGCAAAACAGCACTGTTCAGCCCCTCTTGCAGCCCCTGGGTTAAGGGGAGAGGCTGGGGAGCTAGGAGATGGTGGCAGCCTCTGAGCTGCTGTCATGGCCCACAGTGGGAGGAGGGGGGCGGTCAGCAGTCCTTGGAGCTGCTTGTATCAAGAACTCCAGCTAGAAATGGGGGTGCAAACTTAGCTTAGGACCAACAGAGAATTCGGGCCTTGGTTTGCAGCTGTCTGGGCTCTGCGGAGGCATCCGTCAGTCAGAGGCAGAGGCAGAGATGTTGTGCTACCACTGGAGCATTTGCAACTCCCACCCCCCTTCTCCTTGCACCGATCTGTGTTGCAAAGGCTCCTGGGCTGCCTGAGTCCTAACTGACCATGTCCCTCCTGCCATCCCAGAACTGGCCCTTTCCAGACCCCCCCAGCCTGCCCCAGAGGGATTGGCTGGGGCTGGCCAGCCAGAGGCCTCCACCTCTTGCCACGCAGATGACCCACAACAGGCAATAAAAAAAGAAGCGACACTTGTATCGCTCACCTGGCGCTAATTCCCATCTAACCCTTGCAAAGATCAGGGTCGCAGTCGCTGTGGAGCTGGGTTTTGCATGGAGAGTGAGATCCCACCTTCATGGGTTGATTGGCACAAAGCACTTACTTTGTGCACAACAGATGCCACAACACCCGGAGCCTGGGAAGCGTCAATGTGCCTGCAGTGTCAATGGCTCACAAGTGGAGAGGGTTGGCACCGTGCTTGGAGGAGCGGCTGGCGGGCAGTGAACATACCTGCACATGTCTGGCAGCTGGCCTGGCACCCCTCGCACTTCCTGGCCTCTCTGCTGAGGTACATGCCGGGCTGGCATTCTGGGACGCAGCTGTCTCCTGACAGGCTGTCGGCAAAGGAGAGAAAATATGCACCAAAACCCACTCTACAGTGATTCCTGCTGACAGGTGTTGAAAACAACCCGGAAGGAGGGGAGCTGGGGAGGCTGGGACCATTGCTCCCTGTGTTAGAACCACCCAATGCTTCCTGGCATCAGCCCAGCAGATCCCAGCCCCCGGACCTAGAATAGATCCAGCTCCTAGATCTATTCTGTGGAGGGGGATCCTTGCATGGTAGAGCAGTCCCCCTCTGCAGCTTGCATTGGGGACTTGCCCACAGCCTCCTTGTACCCCAGTGACGTTGTAAAGATCCCTTGGGAGCTGTCAGGCTAATCCAACATAGGGCTCGGGGCTGAGGCTGGGGAACGAAAGCCCAGGAGAACCACGTCCTTGCCAGCTCTCCCTCCAGCCTGCTCCCCTTGGATGCACGGCGGTCAAGGGCTGGGTAGCCAAGTGGCAGCCCAGCCTCAGAGCCCAGTAGGCCTGCGAGGCTGCCTCTCTGCTCCTTGCAACCCCGGCCCCAGGCCTGCAAGCGGGGGTGCTCTACAACTGACCGCACTGCAATCACTCCCATGGGAGACTCCTTCTCTCCAGGGAAATTCCTGGCTGGGGAGAGGAAGTCATTTCCATGTTCTCATCAGAGCTAGGCTGTGAACCTGGCTGGTACTTCCTATCATTGCTAATGTAAGCTGCACGCCTGTCTGGGGTCAGCAGACCCTTCTGGATGCTCCGGCAGACTTAGTTTGTCCCTTGCATTGAGCTAACCCCGTGAACCACTGGCCGCTACAGCCAGCCCCACCACTGCTTGGTCCTGACTGGGTCCCTTTGCTGACCCATTCCTCTCCCTGCTCCTCCCTGTGTGACCAACCCTTTGTCTGAGCAAAGAGCAGAACTGGGGAGGGAGAGGGGGATCTAGCCCCTTGCACAAGAGGAACTCGCTTTCCTCTCTGTACCTACATCACTCAGATCCAGGGAAAGTCACGCCTTGAAGAAATCCAGAGTAACTTTATCACACGGTAAAAGTTACCACTTTGAATTTCCAGTGATGCCGGAGGGTCTCACTGGCAACATGAGATCCTCACCTGGTGTTTGTCCAGCGCTGAGCCCTGTGGGGCCCATGACTGCAGTTCAAGGCCACAAAGTGCCACCATGAGATTAAAAAACTCTCCAGACCCCAATGAAGTTTAACTCTGAGTGCCGCAGAGCTGTACGGTACAGCTGCGCACACGCTGCCTTGCCTCAGAGCCATGCAGAAGGCATCTGAAATGGAGCCAGCACTTCAAAAGAAATTAAAGTCCTTCTTGGGACCAAAGGAATCGCTGCAGGTTCTTTAATTAAATGTTCAAGAGGAAATAGAATTAAAAAAAAAAAAATGTGGGCAGCCAGCCTGACTCTCCCAAAGGCCTGAACACCACAAAGAACCTCACAATAAAAGGAGGCGATAATCCCGCTCGCTCCTGTTCTTCTTGGCGTTGGAGGAATTAAGCTGTTTAAATGTTATTCATCCTCCATACAGATACTCAGGGAATGCCTGCTCCGTGATTCATGTACTTTTGTTGTAAGCTTGCAAGCTGTCTGAGGCAGGGATCTACTTTGTGTTTGGTGTTCATACAGCATCCAGCCCCGCAAGGTCCCGGTACATGACGGAGGCATTACAACAACGCAGATCATCATACTAGTTGATCCTTTGAATAGCAACTGGCTCTAAGGAGCAGCAGATTTTTCTTTGGCTTCCTGCA